AAACCAACTACTTGAAGTTTTACAGACAAAAACATTTGAAAGAGTATATGTCCTTGAGAGTATTGCTGAAATGTATGGACACACCATACTGAGGCTTCCCCTCTATTTTTGTGTTTTCAATCCCATCGAGTTATTGAACACAAATATTGTTAGGGAGTTATGTAAGCAAATTCATTTCAACCTTGCATAAACACACGGCAAATTGCTTATTGAGTCAATGATTTAATTTACTTGTTTTCGTGAAATAATACTTTTTTACAATCTTGACTTTCTGATATTTTTTTTAATGGAAAGTAATAGATAATAAACGATGCACAATATCTCAATTATTTCTTGGCAATGCAGTGTACTATTTTTGATCATTATATTCTTTCATAATCATTATTGCAATTTATCATAAAGAGTCCGACGTAACTACACAAGAAGCTATACAATATGGGATGAATTCTTTGAAAAATATTCGATGCTTTTACTAAAAATACCATTATCAACATTTGTTTGTATTTCCCACAATTCAACACAATATTTTCTTTTGTGTTAATGGAATTCTATCATGAATTGAAACGTTTAAATTATGTTTTCACACTGCGAGTGAAGGTTATAATATAAAATAGTTTTAAAAATTGCAAAATAATGTTTTATTGACAAAATGTTGTAAAATTATTCTTTTATGGTGAAACTTTGACCTCTTTCAATGAATTTATTCCATGTAAATAATTTATGAAATAGGCTGTTATGAAATCAAAGAAGTGATACGTACAAACTTCTGGATATCATGAGTTGCCAATTATAACTTCTTGACCTGCTGACTTTGGTTCATTTTTTACGTGTTCGACTTGTGCTTGATATCCTACAGTTTTCCCAGCGAGTGGTTTATAACACCGGAAAAATTAGGATTTGTAATATATATTCCACTCTGTCAGACACAATTAGAGTGGTACTATTTTCAGAACATTTTTATCTTCCCTCATTTTTATATTTTCCATCATACGAAACATGTGGAACATTTCCAAAGGAAGAAAACGAATAAAAACTCTATATAGTGCATTTCTTTAATGTCCCCCCCATTTTATTTTTTGAACGGGTCAACTGAAAAAATTGAAATTTTGGATAATGAAATTAATGCATGAATACTTTATTTTGAAGTAAAATTGACAGATGAAACTTTGAAGATGGCGACTGGGCGCCATCTGGGAAGAAAATTTAATGGAAAGGGGGGGCGTTTGTGACGAAAATAACCCTAGAATATGAAGTCAGTATCTTCAACTACTACAAAATAGCGGAACATTTAATAATTCCCTGAAGACAACACATTAATATCGATATTTCTAGAAATATTCCTTTTTATCTACCATATGGCAATTCCAAAAACCCGATAAGGTTTGTTAAGTTATTTTTTGCTTATAAAAACAACAAGAAATGTCAGTACGACAATGAACATCATTGTTCAGTTAGAATATTCTCATTTAGTTTTCAGTTTTACCAGTAGAAAGATACCACGTCAACAATCTCTAAAATTATCACTTATCGTCCATTGGAAGAAAAAATTGAAACGATTTTTATTTACGGTGCGACGCGTAATTTTCACGAGACCGAAAGGATTTTCAATGAATGTTTTCTGAATCGTCCTATCTGTAGAAAATATTTGAGGGACCTTGTATCCAAATTCACAACTACCGGTATTGTGCATAACAAAAAACCCCCAGGTCATCCGTCCATTCTGGAAGAACAGCAAGTGTAAATAATTGGTGAGATGTAGTAAATCCTGAACAGTCTACTTATTCCATCGCGAAAGTTTGTGTCTCCTTCTACTGTGTGGAGACTTTTGAAGAGGAATAGATATCATTCATACAAAATTAAAATGGCAAACCAATTAACTGAAGATGACCCTGATCAAAGAACAGAATTCTGCGAAATCAAGACGGAAACCATTGCAAGGCTTCCTACCTATCTCCACAATATTTGTTTTAGTGACGAATGTACATTTTTTTAAACGGCAATATTCACAGACAAGATTGCCGTTATTGGAGTGACACCAACCCTCATGTTTTCCAGGAAACACATACCCAATATCCAGAAAAAATTACCGTTTGGGCAGGAATATTGGAAAACCATATTGCAGGACCGATATTAGTAGTAAATCCTGAACAGTCTACTTATTCCATCGCGAAAGTTTGTGTCTCCTTCTACTGTGTGGAGACTTTTGAAGAGGAATATGTATCATCCATACAAAATTAAAATAGTACACCAATTAACTGAAGACGACCCTGATCGAAGAACCAAATTCTGCGAAATCAAGACGGAAACCATTGCAAGGCTTCCTACCTATCTCCACAATATTTGTTTTAGTGACGAATGTACATTTTTTTTAAACGGCAATATTCACAGACAAAATTGCCGTTATTGGAGTGACACCAACCCTCATGTTTTCCAGGAAACACATACCCAATATCCAGAAAAAATTAACGTTTGGGCAGGAATATTGGAAAACCATATTGCAGGACCTCTGTTGATCAAAATTCAACAGGGGAACTGCATTTGAATATGCTGGAAACTACTGTTGACTCTTTCATCACTGAAATCGTCGAAGCGAATCCTAATGAATTCGATATGGATATTGTATTCCAACAAGATGGAGCACCACCACATTACTCCAGACAAGTGAGAAACTATTTGGATACTACTTTTCCCGGTGGTTGGATTGGCCGTCGAGGTCCTATAGAATGGCCAGCCCGCTCGCCAGATTTGACACCTTTGGACTTTTTTATGGGGCTATTTGAAGCAAAAGGTGTATAAAACTGAACCTGCTTCAAAATTGGATATACGTCGGTCCCTGTATATACAAAACATTGTTGAATCATTTTCGTGTTGCCATGTTAACAATTGCAAATCCGCGACCTTAGAAGTAACCGATCGGTTGAATAATACTAAAAACAATTCTTATCGTCGAGAAGAGATAACCTGGACACTCTGCAAACTCGTGAGATTGCACGATGCGTGGCCGCCTAGATTAGAGTCAAATCATCCGACGTGCATGATGATCACGTACACAACAACTGATAAAATTAACTGTATGGCGGGATCGAGCGATACAGACGATTCGGAGCCTCCAAGTTGGGGACGACACCCAAGATGAATCGCGAACGATTCCACAAATTGTGTATGGTTGAAGTTGAGGTCTGGGAAATATACAGGATGTACGTGGCATGTAGAGGCAATTTTGAATTATACGGAATATATTTAAAAATACTTGTGCTCTTATGGGGTATGGCATATAATAATAATAATAATCGTCGTCAAAGTTCAACTCAGCACAAGTGCTACTGAATTGCTCTTCTAAAATAATCTCATATGTTGTGAGTGGAAACGAAACTGTGAATATCACTCGATCAGTTTATTCATTGTTAATGAGATAATACAACGATAATAGATAATAATAATACTTTTTCATGTATAGCATGCCTATAAATGGTATATTTTCAATTGCATAATGAATGTTTGGAGTACGAAGTGAATGGGAAAAAATGATTTTCGTAAAATTCAATGTTCGTGTGAAAGTAGTTGGTTCAAAAAGGTTTTTTCTTTCACTTTGTAAACGATATTGAGCATATTTGAAGTGACGGCACTCTCAAAGACTAAAAAAAATCGATACATAGAAAGCCGAACTAGTTCACGTGGACTGTAACTTGGCGGTTCGTATTGGATAATTTTTACTACCCGAGTTTTATGATTGGCTGAAGAGTCATAAAATTAAATTTGCATTGGTATTGCTTCGAATGATTTACATTTCAAATATTTCGCAAAATCGGATATATCTTGCCAGGGGTGTATTTTAGGTATAGGACATTCTTCATAAATTTGATATATTTTTTTTCGTAGTATGTAGAAGTAACTTTATGCTTAAGGTGTGATTCATTGAAATTTCACATTTTCAACTGTTACTGTCTATTAGTTATGATTTTTTCGGAGTCGTGCTGTAAATGTCAAATTTTTCAGAAAAAAAATAATATCTCGAAAACTAACAAATTTGGGTATAGGCATTGTTATACAAAGTGGGCCTAAAATGTGCTGAGAAATTCAAGAATGTAATAAAATACAGGGTATTCCATTTGACGTAAGGAAGTTGCCCTCAACTTCCGGTATAACGGAAAGAGACCGGAAGTTGAAAATATTTTAGTTGAGAAGGCCATTTTGTAAAACTCACTACCACAGAATTTCAAGTTTTCATTTTGAATCGTTCTTCATATATTCCTAACGAACGCTCGTCGTGAAAAACCCTGTATTACATGAATATTACTGGAGTTTTTTTCCATCACCAAATCATTATTTTAACACATCGACACTAATCATACTTACAAAGTTATTCTTGTTTATACCATAGATACCTGTTCTAGGTACCTGCGTCTTAAATTAATTTCACAATATTGTCTCATCTACTAGTCTTAAATTAATTTTACAATGTGTCCTTATATAATAGTCTCAAATCTAATAATTGAAATATTATTTTAACAAGTTATATAGTATACTATTATGTATTGGTCCACCATCGTTATTCATAATATAATGTTTACATATTTCTACACTCTCATAGGCATCTAAATGTTTGTTGTTAACTTGTCTAACTTCGAGGAAGTAGAGCCTTAGCCCGTTTACTGTGACAGAAATATATAACAAAAATCATGCAGAATATGGGCGATATTCAGTTATTGGCCTCATATTTATCTCAGGAATTTCGTAAACTGAATTTTAAGCAGCTACCTCAATTGCTGAAGTTCTTGCAGTCCGATTTGCTCCTTTAAAGGGATGATTGAGCTCCAAACATCCTGTTTCACATAATCTTCTGTGGGTGATTGAAATCGTTCGACCATCAGGAACCATTATATTTGGGAAGCGCTATTGACACACTTGACCATATCACGAAAATTATAGTCCTTTTTTCCCAACACGAAGACGTTTTCTTGATACATTCGGGTGAAGATCACTATTTTTAATACTTTCAGGTATCATTTTATATCAACTGGGTGGATTGGGAGTTACAGCAGGAGCGCACAGACTTTGGGCACATCGTTCGTACAAAGCCAAATGGCCTTTGAAAGTTTTGCTGACAGCATTCAACACATTAGCGTTTGAGGTGAGTTAAGAAAAATCCTTTTTTTTTTTTTTCGTTGATTCTTCTTCTGCTTTGTCCTTTTTCTTTTCCGTATCGTCCCATCAGAGTTGACCATTTGTTAAGAAGATTTCTTTCCTTCGGCTGCCAGGACTTTTCTACATTTGGAAAAAAATCAAAAAACAGTTTAAGCCTATATGAGTCGAAGAATTCATAAAGCTAGAGCGACAATGCGAGATCAAACATTTTGATAAGTTTCTCGAAAAGTTGAGAAAATTGAATTGACGCTGACTTGTATTTAGATCATACTTTTTTATTTTATGATGATATACAGTGTCATTCTCAAAGTATGCACCATATGGGAAACTTATTTATTAAGGGTTTTTCGACAAAAAGTCATTTTTGATAAAAGTTTGTGCATCCTCTAAAACTAAACATGCACCAACAAAATACAGTAAAACAAACGTAAGATACGAGGAGCCTTCAAATATTTGATTTTGAGACAAGAGTAAAGTACTCTTATTTTGAAAAATCTCGGGAAATGTTATTTAAAAAAGTTGTTCAGCATTAAGAAATGCATCTAGATTTGAAGTCATGGCCATCTAAGTGGAGTTTTATTTTAATGCCCATTTTTTTAAAATGGGGACTACGAAAAAAAAGTTGCTAAAACGATAAATAGACAGCATCCTGTATAAGACGGTTCATTTTAAAAGCCTGCAATGTTACAAATTACACAACTATGGTGTTAACCACGGTCAATAATTTTCAAAGTTTTTGGTTTTGCAAAGTTATTTTTATTTTTTGTCAACACCGGAAATTACTCAAAATTATACAGTATTGTAACAAGAACTTAATATTCAATAGTATCAGATCACAAAACATCAAAATAAAATAGGTATTTCGGAACAAACTCATTGATTTTCTGGATATCATTTTGGAGAATTATTTTGGACAAGAAACTCCTCGGAAAGTCAATGAGTTTGTTTTCAAATACCTATTTTATTTTGATGTTTTGTGATTTGATATTATTGAATATTAAGTTACGATACTGTATAATTTTGAGTGATTTTCGGAGTTAATAAAAAATAAAAATAACTGCACCAAAAACTTTGAAAATTATTGACCGTGGTTAACACCATAGTTGTGTAATTTGTAACATTGCAGGCTTTTAAAATAAACCGTCGAATACAGGATGCTGTCTATTTATCGTTTTAGCAACTTTTTTTTCGTAGTCCCCATTTTAAAAAAATGGGCATTAAAATAAAACTCCACTTAGATGGCCATGACTTCAAATCTAGATGTATTTTTTAATGCTGAACAACTTTGTTAAATAGCATTTCCCAAGATTTTTCAGAATAAGAGTAGGTACTTTACTCTTGTCTCAAAATCAAATATTTGAAGGCTCCTCGTATATTACGTGTGTTTTACTGTATTTCATGTTTAGTTTTAGGAGATGCACAAACTTTTATCAAGAATAAAATGTTGTCGAAAAACCCTTTAAAAAAATGTTCCCATATGGTGCATACTTTGGGAATGACACTGTACAAAGTGTACCTCTCTGCGCACTATTGAGTCGAGTCTTTTTTGAGTGAAATATTTTTTGGCAGAACAGGACATTTCAATTATATAAATTCATGTTACTTTTTTTGTAAAGCTCTTACTTAGTAAACACATAGTATGGCATTTGAGCATAACCCAAATGAGGCTCTATTTTAGAGTGTACTATACAAGTCACCCAACAACTTCCAGTCTTGAACTGGGGCTCATTTCAAAAAAGTTATTTCATAATTATTTTGAAAATTGACAAAAGTATTTTTTTATGTTACTGAATTCATTCTTGCCAAAATATTCAAATAAGCATAGTCTGTCCTTTGAATCTTCTAAAACAGTAGGCCGATTTCGAGAAGCTGCACATCAGTGGATATAGAATGAAAATCCCATTCCTATTGATAAAAAGCTGAATGAAACATCCCCTTAGCGGGTTTTGCAATGGTTTTTTGGTAAAAATTTTTTTCACTTACAAACTTTTATGTATACCCCTCTACATGACCGTATTTAAAAACAAATGTCACCCTCCATCAAGGAGTGTAAACTTTCTTGGCCGAATATAACTGTGTCGAAACTATTTTCCGGGTTGGTTGACCGTGGTCTTCAAGTTTTTATTCTATATCCCTATATAAGCAATTAAAATTCAGAAAAAAGAAACAGTCTCAACCAAAAAGAAGAGAAAAATTAACTTTGATGGAATTTAGCTACCTGTACTTAATTTTCACCGTATTAGGTCATTTTATTTAACCAATAGGAACGAGTCCACACCTAAGACCGAAATAGCTTTGACACTAATATCCAGTTCAGAGTCGGTTAGCTGTGAGTGATTTTACCTTAATTAAATCGGAGAAATGAGTTGGTAAATTGTATTCACACTTGAAAAACCTCAGTAAAAAGCTTTGCAAATTTCCTAGAACATGCAATAAAAGCTTTGACGTATTTCGACTCTTCAGCTATTCCGATACACCCGTTGGACACAGTTAATGAGCATGTGATTGGCCCCGCCAGAATATTTTATTTCATTTTAATGGTTGGTCGACTTTGTAATCGCGTATAAATATTTATATTCATCATGTCCTCCGTTCATTCAAATCATCAATTAGCATTCTAAAGATCTAGTTGCCTACGTCAAATATGGTCGTTAGCACCATTATTATGCTATCTGCCTTGCTTAAAGTGTATTAGAATTCGCAGATCATATAACTATTCAATCTAATTTGAAAACCAAATGGTTATTCCGTCGATGGTGTGAATTTATGTGCTGCCAATTTTAATAATCGTCCTTCATTAATACAATACGTTATGGATATTTGTCAAGTATTTACCGTTTCCATCGCATACCTATCATAAGATTAAATGACGTAACATACAAATTAGTCCGAGTATAGATGGATATTTTTATTTTTTACTGAACGAGAACAAACAAACTTTTTTCCATGATTCTGAACTGTTATAACTAATAACATAAAAAATTCTAAATTTGATTAGTGAACTGTATAGTATCAAATTTTGTACCACATTTTATATGAAAACAGTAGTCCTTTCCATAACATTTTTTGCAAACAACTCCTAAAACAATATAGTTCTGAAAAAAAATACTCCATATTGCTTTAGAGACCATATTACTTGAGAGCTTTCAGTTGCAAATACCACCGAGACGATTTAGGCAACAAACGGAACCCTTTATTGTAATTATTATCATTATCATCTCGTAAATTTCCTAATCATTTTTCAGAACTCTGTGATAGAATGGGCTCGCGACCACCGCGTCCACCACAAGTTCAGCGAAACGGACGCCGATCCTCACAACGCCAAGCGCGGTTTCTTCTTCTCGCACGTCGGCTGGCTGCTCTGCCGCAAGCATCCTGAGGTAAAGAGCAAAGGCAAGGGCATCGATATGTCTGACCTCGAAGAGGACCCCATCCTCAAGTTCCAGGACAAGCACTACATGATCCTGATGCCACTAGTGGCGTTCGTGATTCCCACTTTGGCGCCCATGTACTTCTGGAACGAGACTTTCGTCAATTCCTTGTGCATCAACATTTTCAGATACGTGTTGACGCTCAACGCCACTTGGCTGGTTAACTCGGCTGCACATCTTTACGGCCACAAACCTTACGACAGGTGAGTGAGTTGCTTCACGATGGTCACTTTGTTTTTGTTTACAGTGGTGGTTTCAATTTTGCTTCTCAAGTAGTATAAATTCACCTGGAAGGAGCGATAAATAATAATTTCCTTGTTTCAATTATTTCCTTGTTCATTTCGATGAGGTCAATGAACCCATGGGGTGAAGAAAATGCAAGAAAAAAAGGAATATACAGCTTTTTTTTAAATAAATCCAACTTTTATGAAATATTCATCTAAACTGGATCCTGATACCCCTTCTAGAAACTACTCTTTTCACCAAGCTATGATGTAAATTTTTCAACACTCGATGCTATTCAGTTTTTTTTTTACGAAAACCTAATTTATCTTTCAGCATGTGTGTCTTTATTCCTAGAACATTTCCGAATTTTCTCTCAATTTTTGTCTCAACTCTGGTGATACATGAGCTTTTGCAGTTGATAAGTTCATATATGCCATGGATGCATATGATTCTTGTTCAACATTTAGATGGAGAGGATAAGGAATTAATTTACTTGGAAGCTTCATCAATTCTTATTCTTTTTGGTCTAAAGCTTATTTCAAAATTTCAACAAGCACAAATCAGTGTAGAGCGATTATCAGTATGGTTTCCACAAACAAATCAATAAACTAACAATCCAATCTGAAAACATAGAATCTAACAGGCTGAAAAAATCATAGGCCTCAGTTTCAACAATTACCTCTCCCAAAATACTGACATCATACCCTTGCCAGCCGACTATTGCGTCTTTGCACGCTTTGGAGTCGGTTCATCACGTGCAGTCCACTCAAATAACGATTGTTTGATTCTGGGGAAAATAATGGAGTCCATGTTTCGTCCGTTCTCACATATCGACGCAAAAAATTAATTCCGAGTTTTTCATTTTTTATGGTGGAACAGCTTCAAACACTGTTCAGAATCATCAATTCATTGTTTTTAGTCGATTGTGAGCTTGCGCGGCATCTCTATGAACAGAGCTTCTCAACAGTTGATTTTCCTGATGCAGTCCGAATAATGTTTATCAAGCCAAGCCTTGACTTCAACAGTAGTCAAAATGTTCCATCACATAAACTAATAAGCCGACAGCTGTGAAATTTGTATGTGTCTTTTGAAGGTTAGGTTTAACTAAAAATCGTATGGATTCAATACTAGCAGCGCCGTCTGTGTGTGAGCCTTCGAACTGTCCAGCTCACCTAATATTGAACTTAAGATTTATAAGGCCTCTAAGTGGTCTAAACTTTTATATTATGACTTCATTGTACCAATTCAGACAACTCAAAACCTTAAGCTACCAAATAATGTATCTATTGATGTGGTTCAAACATCAATAAATAATTCCCATTTTGTTGTTGCACTTGTGTATGTCACTAATTATTGTATCTAAAATCCTTTTTCTTACATTCAAGGTATATCAACCCTGCCGAGAACCTATCAGTTTCCATCCTGGCTCTCGGCGAGGGATGGCACAACTATCACCACACCTTCCCTTGGGACTACAAAACTTCAGAACTTGGAAAATACAGCGTCAACTTTTCCGCTGCTTTCATTGACTTCTTTGCCAAGATTGGCTGGGCATACGACCTCAAAACCGTCTCTGAAGAGATGATCAAGAAGAGGGTGCTCAGGACGGGAGATGGCTCACACGAGATTTGGGGCTGGGGGGACAAAGACCAGCTGAAGGAGGACTACGACGATGTCGTTATCACGCATAAAAAGAATTGAATAGAGTTGAGTGGGTGTAGGTCAATCGGGAACAAGTTTTCCTAGACATTTCAAAAAAACACGCTTCAAAGTGTTTTCAATTGAAATTATTATCTATTCGGGTAAACACAAGTAAGGTATGATGCGAATTTTATTTTCCAAAATGCCCTAATTTACCAAAGATGTTACGATTGCAGTTCCAGTTGACCTACTAGTAAGTTATTCTAGTAGCCGAGAAAATTCTCGGATAACCCCTGTATATATGTGTAAAGTTTAGTTATACTCAAGAGACTGATATCTATGAATTGACTCTTCTACTTTCCCTTCTTGAGTTTGCGTTGTATATGTTCATCAAGTCTTGGGTTTCAAAAAGTACCAAATTATATCTGTTGAATTCTGTTCAAGTGATAATGAAATAAAATGTTCCTTGAGTTTCAATATACAGGGTGTGTTGTAGGACACGTGATATTTCTTGATTAGATGTGTTGTCTGCAAAATTTCTGTGTACATAACTGTACTGGGTCCTAGGAATGTGTATTTCTAATAAAAGTGATATTTAGTTTGTAACTAAATTTAGTTATAGTTTTAGTATTACTTTTGTATAACAATGATTTGAGTTATTTATTGTTTTAGTAGACGGTGGTTAAATTTATTGCAACTAGCTTGTGCATAACTTATGTCAAAATATATTAATTTATATTACAGATAATTTTATTTCAATTTCAATTCACAGACTGAATTGAGAGGCATTCAGTGATTTCGATAAAAAAACTAAATTCTCTGATTTTATAAATTTAGTAGTGACCAAATTCGATATTTGTGTTGAAATCAATTGAATTCAACTTTGATATTCGGAGACTTTAGTATGTTTTGAGTTCAAAGTCGCCGAATGCAACTTTATATTCGAAGCAACAGAATTCAATTGTTGTGTTCTTAGCTGTCGAATGCAACTTTTGTGTTGGGAGGAACTGAATGTAACAGTTCAGATTCGTTTAATGCAACTTTGTGTTTCTAGCAGCCGAATGCAATTTTTCCGAATTGGAAGCATACGAACACAACTTTTGTATTTGAAGCAGCTGAATGCAACCTCTACATTTGGAACCCTCGAATTTCACTCTGGTCTTTGGCAACGTCAGGTAAATTTAGGGTTGCAACTGTCAAATACAACTTTTGAATTTAAGCTACCGAACGCAACGTGTGTTCAAAGCAACTAAATGAAACTTGTGTTCGAATCCACTAAATGCACCTCTTGTGTCCGAAATGATCGAATGCAACTTTTGTTTCAGAATCAACTAATTGAATGTATGTTCGGGAGCCACAGAAGTCATCTTTTATGTTATAAGTCGCCGAATGCAACTTTTGCATTCGAAGCTACCGAATGCAACTTTGTTTTAGGATCGACTGAATTCAGCATTTGTGTTCGAAATCAACGAATAAAACTTTTGTAGTCGATGCCATCGAATGCAACTTCTGTAATATTTTCATACTAAGTTACTGAAGTATATTATTGTAGGAAAGGGCAAAGGGGCCTCTTATTCCATTGTTTCTTGGAAATTACGACTTCGAATCTCGAAATTACGACTTCGAATCTCGAAATTACGACTTTGAACTAGAATTTCCGAGATCAAAGTCGAAATTTCGACATTCAAAGTCCTAATTTCCAAGAAACAAATAAAACGTGTGGCCGCCCCTCTGCACTCACATGAAATTGCATGTACTTATGATTGGAGTTCAAGGATATGAATGCCAGTAAGACAAATTTTCAATCTGCATTTTCGCCATCTAGCAGTTTATATCTAAAATGAGTTCCTTAAATTGTAGAATTCTGTATAGCTTTCAACGCCATCTACAATTTTATAGAAACATTGTATCGAAATATATCATACAGTGGTCTACAATTTAAAATTTTGTGTTTAATGATGAATAACATATTAAAAGGTAGCACAGTGAAATAAATAAAAGTTTACTGGATAGATATAATATTTATTAGTATTTCACATATTTCATGGAACAAAAACATTAAAAATATGAAAAAAGGTTCATAAATTAAAAAATATATTCTAATTCACACAGATAGGTAGGACAAGTTGGCAAAATCACAATATTGATTGCAAAAAAAAAGCATTGCACTTTGCCTCCAGATTATGCATCACAGATAAACTCTTTTTTTCTTCATTAAACTGTACAACTATCCAAATATATTGAAAAGCAAAATGAAAATTATTATGCTTGTTAACTCGATTGATTATGTTGAGAGACACTTATACAGGGCGAGCCAGAAATTGCGAGAAAATTGGAATTTGGAGATAATATTAAATTTATTGTCCATCAACTTCTACATGAAAAAAAGTAAGTGAAAAATTTCAAATATTTTTTCATATTCCTGAAATTACACAGAAATTGCATTAGTTCCATGGGAATAAAATTGCATTTCACAATAACTGTGAATATTAAAATGAATTACAGAAACAGAATGGAAACCAGTATAAAATTTTTCAAAAAGCCGCTATATCCGACTCGTCATGTTATTCATAGTTACGTCCATTTATATAGAAAAAACAAGCTTCCCAGCATTAAAAAATACATACACAAGGAATATTTACAAGGAATTCTGTCATTTTTAACACTCAAAAGAGTAAAATATTACATTTATACAAACGGTCATTATCATTAGTATTATTACAATTTCTATTGATATTATTATAACTTACTATAGTACTTACTCGAAAATGAGTACGGTCCCTGAGCAATTTGATAACAAATATCTTACAATTATTTACCCAGTTTGAGTATCATTTGATTCAATTTTCAGCATAAATTCATCGACCTACGAAGCAATGTCCATGAAGAGACTCCAAAATTATTCAAGTTCTCACACTCTACAGAGAAAACATTTCGTAATCTCTCACACGAAATTGCACTTTCACAACATTAATATTTATTTCGTTACATACAGCCTAATATGTTTCTTGTAAAATTCTCTAAAAAAGCTGGTAACTTATTTACTATGCTTAAACAATAAATAAACTTTCTCAAAAATTACTCAACAACATAAAAAATAATCATTCGTTCAATATGTGTAGAGTTCGATAATGTTCAGGACAAGTTTGGGTTGATAACATGAATCTTAATCAGAATATAAAATGGAAGACCAAATATTGACAGGGTAAACATAGTCAAGTTTTGAAACCGCAAAAAACTGAAATTTGGGAAATATTATATTCTTTAAATGAAACAGAAAATTCAATTCTTGTCGCATCCAAATATTACACCATAAAGGACACTTTGAGTATGAAATCATTTTTAATTTTATTCCTTTTCTCCTCCCATATATTACCATACCTCTCCTTTTCGCGGCAGTAAACAGCCTAAATGTTATTATTAAGAGATTAGACATATCCATTGAGTTTAAGGCAAAGAAATATCCACACGTTAGTAAAAATTTGGATGAAGTAAGATTTATTTCAGAGTAGATATTCTGATGCAAAATTTATACAAACTGAGACAAATCAAGTTAAATTAGTTATTATGAAATGGGTGGCCTCAAACATCATAAGGCAGAGACAAATGATACGCTGAGGGTAACTATCTAGGTACTTCTCACTTAGATACACAGATAAAGAGACATAAAAAATCTATTGAAAATTACTTTTTCCACACCAGAGCAAAATACAATCTCTCGACGCGTCTTTCTCAGTCGGCACTATCAGAAGTGTCAGTATTTTCTGATACTGATGAAAACAGTGTTTTTTAATACAGTCATCTGAAGCCAGACGTATCGAATCTTCCTATCAAGGTATAGAGAAGTTGTATGATAGTATATGGAAGTAAAAAGAAACACTACTATGGCTATATAGGAAGGTATAAAAGTGATGATATGTATTTTTTCAATCAACTAATAATGAAAGATATAACCAATGAATAACTAACATAACCCGAACCTTATCGAACCTGAAAATTTCCATCTCTACCAGCAGAAAGCAAAACAAGTAATGAAAAGAAAGTCATAAAATAAAACTTCGCATGTTTTAACAAAATTGCAAATCTAAATCACAATAGAAGATAATATCACGTCCCGTATAAAATTTAAAAAAAAGTCTACGAGGTGATCTCCTCGGGTCACCTGGCCGTTATCGAAACACTTTCCACTTGGAGCAGTTCCTTCACCTTATCAGTGTATTTGACGAGCGCGATTTTGGAGGCGCGCGTGTTGATTTTCTCACCCGCATTCAAGAACTGACAGCAATGCGCCTGCTCGAGGAAGTCGGACATCTTCAGTTCCCTCAAAACGGTTTTATAGGACGTCGAGGTGGACGTAGAAGGCGGGCAAATCTGCTTGAGCAGCGCATCTCTCGACTTGATCTTCAGGAGGTTCGAGAGGTCTTGCAGCAGCACCCACCGGTCGGCAGGTAGCTCATTGCGGAGTGTGTATAGGTTGGGAAGAAGCGACTCCGACATTTCAAACTCGATGTCCTCCTCTTCGGATTCGGGGTCTGTCGCCGGAATGTCGTCCAGGTGGTTGTAGCCCATGAGATCGATGGGATCTAAAAAGAAAATACATTTTAGGAACTGTTTATAGCAAAGTTTTGAAACCCATTCTCAAATAAAATAAAATGGTGAAAAAACTCAATGCAAGCTTTTATTGATATTGTACCAAGCATTCGAACACTGCATCCACTGCCTCATTACTTTTGATTGTGTTTGCTGCAATTATAAACGAAACAATGGGTTATGCGCAACGTTGGCTGCAGATCATAGCCAATAAACCCGCAAAATGGCTTTGAAACAGATATTCAGTAGACAGGTGTGTCTAATTTAGATCTCGCTAGTATTAATTATCTATGCTGTGCAAAACTTATTTCATTCGTTTTGGTACATTAGCTCAATGCACTTTTTAGCTTGTACGTCAAAATTTATCCATTTCTGCTATTGAATCATTGTCATATCTTCTTTATGTACATTTCAAGCTAATCAAATTCTCAACGAGCAGACATCCAGCATATTGGGCACTTGGCTTCTCGTATTCTGCTCAACACCCGTTCATTTGATATCTAATGTTACACAGATTTACTATGAGGAAGATGAAGCACCATTTGGCGGTGTCCACATTCTGTGATCGAGCATTATCATGACAACCAAATTGGTTGAGGTTATCTGATTCAAATCTTAGTTCATGATTTGTTCCACACTAACCAACTAGCATACTATCAGTTCAAGCTGAATCTTGTGAAAAATAGAACCGTTAACTCAATGGAGATAACTCAAGTACATTAATGAATTCTCGGTATGTGTGTTGTATTTTACATCCTACTCATGTAAAAATGCCTACTTGTTATGATAGCTAATGTTTACCTAGTTTCTACCTGTAATTGATACTTGAAACAATTAAACAACCAGCTGTTTGGAAAAGAACCTTTTTCCACTTCCAAACTTTCATAGAGATTTGAAAACCTGTTGTCACATACTGGTTACTTACTTACTTACTGGTCACTTACTTTGTGACCTTTCTGTGAAGCATGTTCCTTGAAGCGAGTTGTTGTAGTCCACTTAGTTTGACCGACATACTTTTTATTGCAATTTTCGCAGCTTATTTCATAGCTGTCGTTTAGTCTTTCAGGTTTCTCGAAACTTGTTGAAGTATACGAGCATTTTTTAAAGTCATTTTCATGTTCATCAGGGATTTTTTGCGGTAAAAACATATATTAAAATTAAAAAGAGGTGTAGAATATTGTAGTTTTCACAAACTGTTTTTGATTAGCTACAGTATTACGTCTTCGGGATTCCCCTCTGTAATTATTATCAGGATAAAATGCAATGAGGTTACATATTATCTCCATTGTGTCCTGAAAGTATCTCAACTTTGTGTGATGAGAAAAAATCTTAGAAGAGAATACACAATGATTACAAGTATTTCGTGAAAAATAAGTATCGAGTTTAAAACAATTGTGATAATTTAGAAGAAATATTACTAAGTTCTAGTCTGATCTATTGATTCTTTGCAAACTGGAAATGAGTTGTGGCAGTTCGTTTTTCGTTGAATGATATCCAATGTCAAATCTATCTATAGTGTGAATGTATCTGCGAGTTGACGAGTATTGAGTTCATACATTTCTTAATTGATTTTTCAATATCTGATGATTTTTGTATGATTTCTCTATTTCCTAATATGTAGTGAAATATGTTAGCTTCGCATCCATTTTAATCCAAATTTAATCACTAATATGTTCCTTCTAGTCCCCGTTTTATCTAAGTGACAGTTGCAGGACATCTTGGGAAAGTCCTAGGAAGTCAAAAAAAAGATAACATTTCCTTTGCCCAGTGACACAATTGCAGTACCTATAGACATCCTACATACAGTGCATTTCTTTGATTTCCCCCCCTTCAATTTTTTAAACAGGTCAACTCAAAAAATTGAAATTTGGGATAATGAAATTAATGCATGAATACTTTATTTTGAAGTGAAATTGACAGATGAAACTTTCAAGNCAAAAAGATGTGTCACAAGACCCCCCTTTCTCTTAATTTTTTTTTCCCAGATGGCGCCCAGTCGCCATCTTGAAAGTTTTATCTGCCAATTTCATGCATTAATTTCATTATCCCAAATTTCAATTTTTTGAGTTGACCCGTTCAAAAAATAAAAGGGTGGGGGACATTGAAGAAATGCTCTGTATAATTTGACAATATGCCTCATGGGATCTAAAAAGGTCATCTTGGTAGTATAGGACCACATGAGTAAAGCAGACACAGGTAGAATTTTGTGTGTTTTCAGTGAAATATCGTCTACTGCAGATGTTTTATTTTCAGTTATGTCTTTCATAACTTTTTTCAGTTCTTCAATGTTCTTCTCTTTCTGTAGTTATTGTGAATGTTTATGTTTGTATACCATACTCTGAATGAAATTGTACACAAGTATCAATCAGTGAGAATAGAAATGAGCCCATGAGGCTACAGTATTTTCCATAAACTTGAAAGAAATTTACAAATCCAACTGTTACCAAGTAGAAAACTAGTCAGAACAAGAATTCAATCAGGTTGTCGTGTGATGACTAGAATTAACTAAATCAGTCGGTGACATGGATCATATTCATGATTTCAGAATATACCACGTGTTTATACTTACCGAGTACGGAAGCGGGTCCAAAGGAGATCCACTGCGAACTGGGTTCGCCTTCGATGTCATTCAAATGATTTTTGAGAAAGTCTTTGGTCACTTCGTCGTTCGTCAATGCCAAAGGCGTCATTCCAGAATAAGTTGCCAGCGTCGGATCAGCACCATATGACAAGAGTAACCTTGCTATCTCGACAAAACCATTTTCAGCAGCTTCGTGGAGTGGCCTGAAAATTCAATATGTTGGGTGAAATCCTTCCATTGACGTAATTTTTGAAGGAATGGATAATTTCTAATTTACCTACTAAGCATTAATATCAACTGGATTGCAAACTATATTTTTCTTGATTTTTGGGTCCACTTGATTTTCCTTCCATAGTACTATCGACTTTTATTTTACTTTATTACTTCATGACATATACTTTTCAAATCTTTTCAACTATATATACTTTGTTCAAAAAATAGTCCTCCTCAGATATAATACAAATTACTTCTTATATGCAGTTTTTGGTATGTCCTTGAGCTTTCTCAATGATTCGAGTTTTATCTCCTCAATCGTCTCATAACGCCGTCCTTTCATGGGTCTCTTCAATTTTGAGAACAGGAAAAAGTCGCAAGGAGGCAAATCTGGTTAATACGGTGGTAGGGGCACGATTGCAGAGTTGTTTTTGGCCAAAAACGCACAGGTAATGACGGGTGAGCAGGTACATTATCGTGATGGAAAAGCCATAAATTGTTTTTCTACAATACCGGACGTTTCTTTTGTATCGCAAGCGGAGCATAAATTCAAGATAATTCTCTTTAAATAAATTGATGGATGTAGCCGTTACTACGTGGTAGGAAAACATAATGAAGAAAAGAGAAATGAAACTTTCTAATCTGTATAGCTAGGTTTTCTGAAAACATTGAACTCAAATTTCAATTAGCTATACAGACATCACCATCCCAAGCGATTCTTTCCATCCAGACAGTCATAAATTAGCAGCCTACAATTCAATGTTGCACAGAGCATTCTCACTGCCTTTGTCTGCTAACAATCTAGCTAGGGAAATTGATATAATTACACAGATAATGGTTTCAACGCAGATACTATCCAGAAGTTAGTCAGGAAACAAAGCCGGAATTTAACTCACAGCTTAGTATACCCTCAGATCAAACAACCAAAAATCAAGAAATGGGTAACTCTAACATATTCTGGAAAAAGAATAGAGATAATTGCGGGTTTCTTCAGAAAATACAATGTGGAAGTGGCATTCAGACCACATGGCAAGTTATTTCATTTCCTTTACAAAGCGAAGGATAATTTGGACGAGTTGGAGAAATCTGAAGTTTATAAACTTAAGTGTCCGGAGGGTAATAGTGTTTATATGGGACAATGTGGCCGAAATTTCCATGAACAGTATGCTGAACATAAAAGGTCCTTTAGATTAGAAAAAAATGATTCCACGTTTTCAAACCATTCCTTGGCATGCAACAAGTTTCCGAATCGAAACAATACGGAAATTTTGCACTATACAAGAAAGGGTTACAAACTCAATTATATACAATCCTTGGAAATCGATTCAGTTCACTCACCGGTTTTCAAATTGGCACATCTGCATTGTGAACTGTAAATGCAGGTACTCAATCAAGCCCAGTACCTCTATTAGTGCCTACAGGAGTATATAAGGGCTAATGTAATGAACCATTGTTAGTTTATTGTATAAGTTTGAAATGTCCGTATAGGACGAAACTGCAATAACGTTAGTTACAAATAAAAGTGGTAAAAAGCATAGAAAGTTTCGTCTTCATAATTATCTTTATTAACCGTACGACTATGTGGCAAGAACTCCTGATGCACTACGCCACAGTAATCGAAGAAAATAGTGAGCAGAACCTTGGCATTTGATCGATTTTGGCGTGCTTTTTTTGGTCTTAACTATGCTGGGCTCTTCCGTTGGGACAATTGGTATCGATGTCATAACCACATACCCTATACCCATGATTCGTCACCAGTTATGACTCTTTTAGGCAAATCTGGATCGCCTTTGAAGTCATTCAACAATTCCTGAGCGATAGTCATGTGAAGGTTTTTTTGGTCAAAATTATCAGAGTACTATTAGGACATATTTTAATTAGACTTGTATCTGACTCTCATGGCATTTTATGTAATCAATATTGGATACTTTTCAAATATATTCTTATCGATTAAATAAAACTGGCCAGTACTTGATGATAACCGATATTAAAACTCATTAATACAATTCATTGCATTCATTCACCATAAAGAGTTTTACAAAACCCATGACACGTTTCACTATACAATAGCTTTCTCAAGCGTTGATAGTAAGTTACTTCTAAATTGAAACTATTTTATACTTTTACCTATTACCTACTTATTTACCTACTTTCTGATAAATCTACCAGAAAACGTCCAATATAAATTCATTAACTATATGAATAAATTAAATTTCAGGACATACCCTAATTATACATTCTTACTGGCTATTTTCATAAAAGTGTTGTAGTGTGCTATGTAGATACAATTGTTTTTGTTATCTTTTTCTGACTTTTTGTTCAGTAACTATTTGAAATTTTATTCAACAAACTCGCAATGTATATAATTTTAGAGTATTATTTGAGAACATTACTCGAATAGTTATTACCTGAGTAAGTAGTGATAGTTAGTATGTGTAATGTTTTTTTTTTATTATTTTTACCAAGCTTTGTCAATAAGATATGAAACTTCAGACAATAAAGCCTATTTTGACTTTGACTTACAATAAAGAGTGGAGTATTTCTTTGAATTTTTGAAAGCTGAGTTTGAATCTAATAATTGTTATCAAAAATAGAAACCATGTCAATCCACTATTTTGGAAATCAAGATTGCAGTTTTTCTACTCGAATTTCTTCTTTGTGCCTATATTGGAAAGAAATATCTGGGAAGGCACTTTATAGTTTTATGACTCAGTGAAGGTTTCAATCATATGATTAATTAATGAATAGAAAACAAAATGACTTTCCAATTCATCTATCAGATAAAGTTAGAGATTAGAAATTTCAAACAGATTGTAAAATAATGAAGGGATTTCATTCATTATTTCAATAAAGAATTGGGAATATATTCACCTTCACATGCATAACATAACCTAACCTAACCTAATAGTTTCAAATATTTCATCCGATTCAGTTTCTGTTTTATAATGATGACAATTACTGTAGTTCAAATTGCATTTTTCAGTATTTTGAAGAACTTCAACCTAATTTTCTAGAGTTTGCGAAGATTCGTCAGCTAAACCGATTGAATATAAATATAGATGATAAAAACTTGAGCAACTAACAACATACCGTATATCCCAATCTGGCAGCTCGATGCAGATGAGTCTCTCCAATCCCTTTGTTCAGCACCCAAGTCTTAATCTCCTTCTGGATATCGTCGACAGACTCCAGAGTCTTGGATATGACAATCTTCTTCTTCTTCTTCTCGCCGCCCTCATTCTCTGCGTTCTCCTTTTTCACTTTCTTCTTCTTCCTGATATAATCGAAACCGGAGCTCAGCTTCCGGCGCATTTTACCGAACTTGCCTCGCCGCTTACCAGAGACGCTCCCGTCATCTCCGTCTGCGGAAGGCGTTTCGGACTTGGTCGTGACACCCCCCAGACTCCTGGTGTCATCTTCGGCGACGGTCTCGTCCTCCAACTCAGTCTTGATAGTCTTCTCCACTATAGCCCTAAACAAACTGTCATCCTTCTTCTTTTCTTTGACGGAAACTTCGCCAGGCTTCGCTACGACATCTGACACCTTCTCCGCGAGTTCGCTTTTCTTCTCCAATCGTATCACGAGGTTACAGGCATTGTCGTCTAAAATCTCTTCTTTGATTTGAATGTCGTTCAAGCACGTAACCGGCGGGGCGGAAGCGGGTCGGTCTTCCCCGAATACCTCTTTGATCGTGGCTCTCTGTTTCTGCACCCTGGTTTCCCTTCTGGTCCGTGACTTTAGCACCACCGTCGCGAACTCGTTGACGCCGACAATATTGTTCGAGCTCTTTATAAAAGCATCCTTGAAGTTGTTGATGGTCGTCTGCCGGAAGCCCAGAAGAGGAGATTCGCTTTTGATCACCGGTGAATTGGACAGCTTCTTCGTTTCCTTCGAGTTCTCCTCTTTTATCTCCAAGCTAGGTGTCGGCAGCAACTCTACCGGGTTGTCGGCTTTCGGGATGACCTTCGGGCTGTGGTCGTCTTTTCTCTTGTACTTCTTTTTCTTCCTACCGCCGCACTTTTCGAGCAGTTTGTCCAGGATCGACCGCTCCTTGGCCGTATTCGGTAGGCTCCGCACCGAAGTTCCTCCCTCTGAGTCGTAGTTAGTCTTTTTGTTAAAGATGTTGAAACTGGAGTTCGATTCGTTATCGCTTTCTAGAGGTTCGGATTTGATATTCTTTATCTTGAATTTTCCGTCTCTGGGACTATCTTTGTCGTCCGTCGGAATGGAAGTGGTTGGAGAATGAGGACACGGATCCAAATCTGGCAACGAAGTAGAAAGTCTATGGAATTGTGGTGGCCTCGATACTTGGATAAGTGAGGGAGGCATTCGAAGCGATTTTTTGTACTTGAACTCGCCCTCCTCCCAGCCGGGGTAAAACCCGGAGCCGTCTCCAAAGCATGGCTTTTTCGATGGCCGAGCTATCGGGAGTATATCAGGCGTCTTTTGGGGTGACTGGGTTTCTTTGCTGTCCTGCAATGACTCCTGTTCCGGTTTGACCTCTTCCGGTTTCACCTCTTCCGATTTCACCTTTTCCGGTTTCACCTCTTCCGGAGGCTTCGGTTCTTGGACCTCAGGTTTTTCTTCGATTTTATCCACCGTCTCAGTTTCGCTATCACTGGAAGAAACCAGCCTTCTCCTGACGCCGCGTTTCTTATTCAGAAACACTCGATCCTCCTCTTTATTCTCATTTTCGTTCGACATTAGAACGTCCGTTATCAGATCGCTAGACACGTCTCCAACTTTTGATTCGGATCCAGTCTCCAAATTGCTTCTGATGGATTCCAATGTTGACTCCAGCACGGAATCCAAAGTCGTCTCCAAAGGAACGGCTTCCTCAGTTTTCATCTCGCTCAAATCTTCCTTGGATTCTTCTTTCGACTCTTCTTCGACCTCCTCCGTTTCCTTTACCTCCCCTTCGAGCGGTTGCTCTCTAGTAACGCTCTCCAACATGGCCAGCACTTCAGGCTCAACGGTCTTTTTCTTCTTATTACATTTCTTTTTGATGGCGCCACTCTTCAGTTGCTCGACGAAATTATCACAGAGTTGAGCGAAAATATCATCGCTAGGACTCGGCGGCGGAGGAGAAGACTCTTCCTTCACCTCGATAATGGGAGTGCTTTGTTTGGTCGTCTTTCTGCCCTTCCGCATCGCTTCCAGCGACTCCCTGCCGGCGTCATTCTCCGAGTCAGAGTCCGGGAAATCGAATACGGACGTCTCCGACGAGCTTCTCAAGCCCGACTTGTCTCTGTGCGGCACGCCGAGGTTGTTGAGGTCCTCTTCATTTCTGCTGAAGAGCCTCTTTCGGGGCGCAAAAGCCTGGCGTTGTTCCTTGGAAGGTTTCGGAGGACTTGTACTACCTGGGGTACTGCTTGCGTTAATGAACATTTGTGGCGCGTCTTGCTTCATGGGCGATTTCAACTGGTTCTCGATGATATCCTGCAGCTGACTCTTGTTGTTGCAGACGACCTCCGTGGCGCCCTGCTTCAACTCGCCTTTTGTTCGTATCCGCGCCGCTAAAAAAGCTGCAGCTGCCAGACCGTCGTAGTCAGAGCCCACATTGTTGTTGATGACGGTGTCCATCGGCTTGACGGGTTTGCCGCTCTCGAAATTGACAGAGTCAATGGCTTTCGGAAGGTGGAACTTGTACATCGACGCCATGTTTCCGCTCTCCGGAAAACTGGTCGGCGTAAAGGGCGACACGTTGTTCCTGTTGACGAATCCCGGCTTGGGTTGCAGCGGCGCTGTGACATCAGTGGACGGGTGCTGGACGTCGGAGCGAGGATGCTGCGCTAGGTTGTCATTGGACTTGAGTTGTTCCAGCTTTTTCTGCTCCTTGACTGCTCTCACCTCCAAGCTGTTTCTTAGTAGACTCAACACCTTCTTATCAACAGGTCCAGAAAAATTACTCTTTGAATTCGCCAAATTAGATCTCGAACTAGACTGCAAGTATGCGTTTGACGGCTGCTGTTGAGAATAGCCGGTGTAAGTTGGATATTGGTGAGCCGCAGGAGATGGCACATAAGTCTGGCAATGATTAGTTTGCGTCTGGTACTGAGTACACCGCGCTGTGTTCTCATAACTCTGCTTTTGGTATCCGGCGTACAAATCTTTCGCCTTTTCCTGGTAGACGCCGTTGACCATAGGCGTCGTTTTGCTGGACGGAGACGCTAGCTGGGCTTGCTGCTGCTGCTTATAGTTGGACAATCTCTCTTCGATTTGTAAATCTATGGACTGCCGCCATGTGTCGGCCACCTTAGGCACCTTATTGGGGATCAATGCCGGTGTTACATCGGACGGCCTCTTCCTCAACAAGTCGCTTTGACTAACTCGGGACACATTGTTCGGAGTAACCTTCGGGGCTGCTTGCACATACGAGTTGGCGTGAGCCGTAGCGGGTACCGACACTGCAGAGTACCTATACGGTGGAGATTTCATTTCAGGAATTAGTCTACTATTGGAATGGGCTTTTTCAGGTAGTACGTTGTGTCTAGGCTCTTCAACAGGTCGCCTAGGTTGACTCAGCGACGGGACGTTGAAATTAGGCCGGAATTCTACTTTTGGAGCAGTGGCGGTCGGCAACTGTGCCGATCTCTGTGCAAGATTTCGTTGAAACGAACTATAGTCCAGTTGGGGATAGTTGTGAGCGGAAATTGACTGGGAGGACCTCTGGTTATGATAGAACTTGTTTCTAGCTTCATGTTCAGCGTCTCCTAATGTCGAATCTGCCGGCGTTCTGACGGTCTTTACTGACAGGTCTAGTGGTTTCGCAGTCCGACTGTTTGGGCTCTGGTCCAAGGAGTTGGAGGCAGCGAGCTCGCTACTAGTTTGAGCCCGAGGTAACGCCTGCGCGGCCTGCTGATGGTACTGCTGACCCGTAAAGTAGCTCGTGGTATTACTGGAAGCAGTCATTATTACTTGGCTGCAAGACTGTGTGGTCACAACACTCGGCGCATGTTGATACTGGGGAGTCGTGTACTGATAGCTGGACTGATAGCTGGACACTGGCGCCACCACTGGGTTTGGCTGTATGATGGAACTGACGGAAGCAGGAGTTCCGCCCCTCGACAATGAACTCGAACTGAAAGTTCGGGTACGCGATGTCGTACTGTTCACGTTCCTCGCGGTTTCTCTGCTGGCGCGACTGGAATGATAATTTGATATGGCGGCGATGGGTGGCAGGTTGTGCGTCGTTCTCACACCTTGTTCATTAACGCCACTTCTCGAACTTGCCTGCTCTTCTTGCCTTGAATTCGCGTAAACCGACTGGTGGTTCTGCTGCGGCGAGTAAATGTGCTTGTAGTAAACGCTTTGTTGGTGCTGTTGGCTCGATGTCGGGTAAGACTGCTGCGGTCCCGGTTTGTAGTTCGTATTGCTAGGTGCAGTTTTCGTCTGCGGGTAGTAGGAACGCGTCTGTTGAAAGCTGTAGCTTTCCGAGGCCTGTGGGTACTGCTGTTGCTCTCTCGGAGACGTTATAGGAACTAACTGTTCCTGTGAGGGAATTCTGGGAACGGATTGTTCTCGCGACGGCACTCTCGGAACGGATTGTTCCCGCGATGGCACTCTCGGTACTATTTGCTCGCGAGAAGGCGCTCGAGGCTGCTGAGGTGAAGGAACTTGGTGATAGGGCGAGTGCGCTTGGTGGTATGGAGAACCGCTAGAGGTAAGCGTTTGGTACTGTGGAAAATTCGATGGAGCTTCTCTGGCGTGTGGTCGGGAGAATTGAAACTGTTGTTGCTGCTGTTGCTGCTGTGAAAGAGGCGACTGTTGCGATCTGGGAGATTGTGGCAAACGTGGAGATTGTTGTAAACGTGGAGACTGTTGCGAATATTGTTGCTGGGGAGGTTGCGAATGTTGTTGTTGATGAGTTTGCGAATGCTGTTGTTGATGAGTTTGCGAATGCTGTTGTTGGTGAGGTTGCGAAAGTTGTTGATGAGAGTGCTGCTGGTGTAACATTTGATGCGGTGATTGTTGATGTTGTTGAGATTGCTGAGGCTGCTGCTGATGCTGCTGCACATGCGGTGGTTGTTGATGCTGATGCAATTGTTGTGACATCTGAGAAGTCTGATACTGTTCCTGGTAAGATCCTAAAACAACACCTATTATATTAAACGTGAAAAGAGAAAACAATTTTCATCAAAAGCTTCACATAAGGTATTTATTATAAGATTTTTTTTGAAAACAGCCAACAGCGGTCTCGAGTTTTTCAAGGTTGTGCATTAAGACCAAAGCCTTACCCGTATACGAAGTCCTGCTCGTTTCTGCTGTCAGATTTGGAGTATACTGCGATGAGTGGGAAGGCGGTCTGGAAGAGTCCGAACTATGAGAAGGCGGCCTGTGAACGGGAGTGTGCTCCCTAGTCTGCGGTTGCTGCTGCTGCTGTGGATGGGCCAGCTCCCTAACAGATTCAGAAGACTGAGGGGGAGGCCAATAAGCGTTCGAAGACTGGGCCATCGTCCTGTTGACGCTCCCCTGATCATTTCGGATGTGCGTTTCGGTAGAGTAGGCCGGACTGTTCCGCTGAAGCTGTTGATCTGTCGAATACGTAGCCGGACTGTTTCTGAGGTGCGGATCCGAGGAGTACACAGGGTTACTACGGAGGTGCGACTCCGAAGAGTAGGCGGGGCTCACCGTCGAGCCGCTGCCCGTTGGCAGCCCCTGGAAGTATTGTCGCGCCCCCTCCAATACGTTGGAGAACGTAACATCCATGACCTGCAGGGCTAGCCTGCTGCGAACTTATCTAAAACAAAAAAAAGGAGACTCATTTACTTTATAATGACAGGCAAGCGAATATGTTTGATTTTGAACCACAACTGACGTCAACGTTCATCTGAAGTCAACATCGTGAAAAAATATTTCTTTTAATTTCTACTGCAGATGAACTGACATTCAAATCTTTCACGACAGGAAGTCAAATAGAAACTATAGTTATCCTGGATGGGTAACCATGTCCCAATAAAAAGATTGGATCTGATCGTTTCGCCCGTAGCTGCTCCAGTTGGCAGCAATGCGTTGCGACCTCATTATTAACGAGTCACAGAGTAAAAGATCACAATGATTCGCTGCTAATCATTGCTGAATATGTTCGGAGCTAATCACTAAGCTGAAACTCCAGCTGCAGAATAATAAGGTTTAAATTTTAACTTCTCCGATATCATTTCGAGTTTATCTAAGGGCAAACATATTTAACTTAAAAACAAGTAAAATATAAAACAGAATTGAAGAAAACATAAAACACAGAACGGCTGAAACAAAACTTATCACTTACTTTCGAAATAAAATAGATCACAATGAAAATTAAAATACTTCGGAAGGTAAAACGTTATATAAAACGAGATATTTCTTATTTCACTGCTGAAATCGAATACCAAAATCATCACTTTATGCGATGCTTGCCTAACTATTTTCAAGATTTTGACAGTACTATACATTATAAATAATAACAGCCCCAAATGGAGTCTATGCGAAACAATCATCACACCCGTAGCAGAAAAACTTTCTTTCAAGCTTTCAAACCAATGTTATCATTCACACAACTCAATTAGAATAGACATTTATGTGCGGCAAAACAAACGGTTCGAATAATTTTAGAGAGGAAAAGCAAAAGAGTTAGTCTGGAAGAAGGATATGCCCATCAATTTTCCCGTTGTTTGGAAAAAATATTAGTTTCTTTCCCCTTTACCGACTCTAATATACTTCGTTTATTTATGGCATTTGTAGAACAGAAAACCCGCAGTCTAGACTCATACATAAATGCTATCAATGAGATTAGAGAAAGCTCAGCAATAAAGTCTTGAAAGTTTCGAAATAACCATCATTAAACAGAATCTCGAAATACAATTACGATTATCATTTTAACCATCAGAGAGCCACACTGACTATTTCCAGAGTCCCCATATCAAATCGAGCTTCATTATCATTATTGTTGTTTGGTTTACCTTCAACGAACAAATACAATTTATTATTATTCTTTTATAAACATAAAACCATTATTATCACTGGTTCACCACCCCATCATTTCATTAGTTATGAGTTATTTTACCTAAAACAATTCAATGAATTACTGCAAGTGAATGACTCACCAAATTATTAATAGTAGAGTCTCACGCACCATTATGTTGCGATACCCCGAGCGATCGACCAAATAAATCGTTACGGGGGACGTATGATAATTAAGTCAATGAAAACATCTACTACGTCAACTTGAGTCGAGACATTTTTCAAAGAAATTGGCAAATTTCCTCAAACAGGTCAACAGAAAACAATATTTTGCATTTGTCGGGTTTCTCTCTTCTCAGTATTATAGTATTGACAAATTGCAAATAATATAAAGATGATAATATTTATTAAATAAGAGTACATCACAAGTGATGTAAATTCCGCTAACTCAAGTAATAAAATGATAATAGATGCTTCTTCAGAGGTGCTTTCATCGACAATTTTGAAAGCGGACTGTTATCATTTATGTTCTAAACGAGATGATGGGAGGGAGAAGCCTAGAGCGAAGATATTGTTGGTTGTGATGGTGATCGAGGGATCTGGGAAGGGTGCTGTGGTATGCTTCGTTCTGGCGAGGATTGGGTTACATATTGGGTGAGAGCCTAATGTTTCTTTTTTCTATTGAACGTATCTGCATGTTTGTGGATTTCTATCGCCTCCTGTAGCCGACTATGATATCCCTCCACTAGCGCTAGTAACTTAACTCCTCCAAAGAGGATTTGGTGATATCCCTCAGAAAGCGCACGTTTCGCTATAGCTGATTTATCTGTATGATACAATTTGCTCTTTTTGGATGTTCCTTCATTTTGGTAGTTCTATCTCTTTGTAGTTTCTATGTATACTTCACCACAAAAAAATGGTATGTGATATACCCCAGCAGTTGAGAATTAGTCACTGCTATTTTTGACCGATTGTTGGTTCCTACTATAGAAATTATTTTCCTGGGTCTTGTCACTCACTTGGAATATGCATCAATTATTTGGTCACATTTGGTTATACACTAGGAAAAGTTCAAAATAGATTTTTGAGATACAGTGCTTACAAAATGCTGTTCACTACTGATAATCACGATTACTTCAACTTTATGAACTAATTGAATCTGATACGTCTCAAATCTCGTAGGATTATGAATGACATATGCTTTATTCACGAATTGATGAACGGGCCAATTACCCGTACTGAATGGTTGAAATGAATCACTTTTGATATACGAATATTCATGGTCAGTACTCATTAATCGATCGGGAATTGATGATTATAGGATCCCTGTTATGGTTTCAGAAATAACTCGAACTGATATTCCAGAACGGAAATACAGAGAGAGGCTGTGTAAATCCCGTTTCGGAATGCAGGATACTAATGAATACTATACTATCATACTAATCATTTAATAAGTTCACTTTATATTTGTAATTTTTTATATAGTGAGGTTACCCGTTTATATAATAAATAAATAAATCAAGGGTTCGCGGATATGAAACTAAAAAACGGGGGCATCAGTGCGGTGTAGCCAAATGTAAAAAAATACACATATGCATCGATTCTTAGCAGCAGCCAACCGCACATCTGTGATTTCATTTAGGAGACCTATATTCGTAGGAAGCAACTGACATGCCTATGACGTGGTCAGATTACATCAGAAATGACGTTGGATTGTCGGACAACAATACGTTTTATCTTTGTTTGGAGCAAATTTATACTTTTCCAGTCTATTACGCCGCGTACCGAATCAGATACTCAATGTACGGTAGATTTCGCTTCTGCCATCTGATCTGAGTAGAGCCTTACACATAAATAAGCTAATCGTCTCCTTTGCGAACCTGGACTGGTTTGGTCAAGTTTTCATTGGTGTGAGCCAGAATAAACCAGCACGGATTGCAGTGGAAGGTTAAACAGACCCGCTCACTTTGGATCCACCTACCGACTTAAAATCGTCCGCCCCTCGTATCTATCAATCGATTTGGCGCAGCTTCCTTTGTTCTCTTGTAAAGGTCGAATCAGCGCGCGCTCGGTTCGATGTAGACTTATTCCGAGAACGGAAATACTCGCAGAGAGAGACTATGTAAACCCCGTTTCGGAATGCAGGAGATCCTTAGCTCGGCAGAAATTATTATCTAGTTTGCCGATCTTTCTCTCTTTCGGTCCCGACAAGTTTGTCGGCACGATTATTCGCTGTTCTTTTGAATAACAATTAGTTGGAAATGAGGTTGGAAACAGACAAATAGATATAGTTTAAAAGATATAAATGAACAGAGACGTCAGAAAGCAAAAACGAGGCCTGAGTTTTTCAAGGTCATAGATAACTAAGATAACTAAAATGTGCATCGTTATTCTTTCGTTACAACGTTTAATATTTTTCAGTTAAAAATTGAACGTGTAGGAAATTCTCCATTCTGGGCCCCCTTCTTTTCCAAACATCAAACTTTAGACCTTCATATTTTTTCTATAGGTACATGAAAGACACTCTTCACCTCACACATTGGGAAGATCTTCTATGACACCGCAAATTGCTATAAAATCTACGACAGTTTGAAGGTAACCCGTATCATTGTTTATTGTATGGAGGTTGACGCAAAAAATTTTCGGCATTCACTCGGTGAAATCCATTCAATTTTTGCGTTTTTCGAAAAACGTATTGGAAGCTTCATATATTATGAACGACTAAACCGATTCTCAAAATCAAAGCATCAACAGAAAACAGGAAATCGTAAACCCTCCAAAATGAGTTATCAGTCGACTCACATTGAAAATATTTAGAAATGATAACTTGGTTGGTTGAATGTTTTGATAAAGTTTTTGGGTCAAAACTCATATCTGTCTTACAAACAAACTTGACATGTGTTTAGATTTTTGTATCTATTATTATTATGCAAACAAGTACATCTCACCGATAGTCATCACGAATAAAACCACAAGACCGTGTAGAGTCTATTCTGAGAATTGAATAAGTTGTGAAACTGCGATATCTGGTAATTCAAATATACCAGTTTGCGAAACGCTAGACAGAACCATTTCCAATTTGATATAAAAATTTGTAATTACGGCAAAAAAAATATAGAATAACCACAGATTATTAGTTGTGACAGCAACTGTTGGTGTGGTATAAACGTAGACACTTTACATCAAACGATAATAATGTCAATTATCCCTCTGAAAATCATGAAATTGCCGCAGAATATATAGCTAACTCAGAAATTGACATAAAGCTGATTTTTTTAGGTACGTAACACCAGTACTACAGGAAAACCCTTGGTGTTCCAAGAGCGGTGCCTGTGCTAAAGAAGAAAAACGTTACCAAAAAGTTTATTCCACATAAACGCAATTCTCCAAATGAAAGAGTTCTAAAGAAGTTCGAAGTGTACTGAATTGGGCCTCAAAACGATGAGCAGCCACAATCCGTCGCGAATTTCTGATATGTACCGCTCTCGAAGGAATCAAACATGCCAAGTCACTTGAACACTTCCCGTGAAAGTATCTATAGAAGAGAGACAAATTCTCAACACTCCTTCGATGTTCCAGACTATCAAGGTTGCAAGTGATGTTTACGTCTCCAATCAGGCGGATGGCTCTTTTCTGGATGGAATCCAGCAGGTTCAGGGTATGCTTAGGGACGGAGCTCCATACATGAGAACAAAGAAGGTCAAATGTGAGCTTTATGAAGCATCAGTTTTTGAGGTGTGTACAGTTTTCTGGTTCGGAACAGTGTTCTAAGCTTTTGAGAAGCAGCCTTTGCAATTCCAG